TGTAATTTTAAATTTAAAACTGAATATTTTTACATAACTCACAAGTAATTATGAATGTTTAAGCTCAAACTTGTTTTTTTATTGAGCTTAACATTAAGTTCCAGCACCAATAACTTAAGTAACTCAATGTTAATATCTTTCTATTGAAAATAAAAGATTTCAAGTTCGAATAACATGATATACAAGTGAAGTAGGATAAGAGATGATAGATGATTACTTTTTATTGTACAACCAAAATCAAATATTAAGTTTGAGATTGATTTGTTTATCAAATGAGTTGAACTCAAATTGATTTCAACTCAAGTAACTCATAAATTACTCATGAACTACTTTACTCATTAACGGCCATTGTCTTGATCCTAAAATGGTAAGTCAAAGGCCGTCTTTCATTATCATCTTCTATTGACTATTTTCAACCTTCAAAGTTCTCAATTACTGAAATTTCCCGCTAATTTACTTGGCTCATTTGCATTTCTCTCTTATTGTTGATTGAAATTCAACAAGAAACGGGTCACAACGAAGCAAAATTTTAAGAATCTCACAGTCCAAATATGATTAATCGGTTTTTAAAAGGGACTGAAGAGATCAGAACCTGCAAGAGAAGGAAGAAAAGAGCTACCCTTCTATACTGGTAACACAGTTTCAAAAACCCAAATCACTTGTCTTGATCCATGTAATGTTGCAGGACACGGTTCCTAAGTTAATGGTTTGAAAAAACCGGCGCCCGTTTGGCTTATTATGCCCATCTTTCACCCCATCTTACTGTTTATTCCTGCAGTCCAACGCTTCAAAATCTTTCACAAGCTTCCAAAAACATTCAAAGGATGGCTCAAAGCATCAAAAAGTAAATTGACATCACTTCACTTGGAAACTTGAAGAAAATGAAGAACACAGGGCATAGCTAAGTCACAGCATATTATTTTCATACTTAACAAGGGTCACTGGCCTTACCCAGCATGGGGCAAGCCCTGCAGATGGTGCCACGGAACATCCAGAGCATCTTACTAGAAAGCAGCTAGTAACTCGTCTGCTTACTTATGATTAGACAATCATCAATCAGGGCAGACAACAAATACTACCGTACTATCATTACAATGAAAGTCTTGCCTGCCCAAATCAACATTTACACCATCTTATCCTGGAGGCCAGTTCATCTGGCGGCCACCAAGGAGGTGGACGTGAATGTGATAAACAGATTGACCTGCAATGGAACACTCCTACATCAATAAAAGTTCTATAACATACACATGACACACATTTAAGCATGTAAAATGGAGAAAGAAGAAACTGTACATACATCCTTGTGGACCATCATTAATCACAACCCTGAAGCCATCTTCCAGTCCTTCCTGTTCGGCTACCAGCTTAGCAGTGTAAAGAAGGCGGCCAAGAATCTCAAAGTGCCTTTCCTCAGCCTACAGATATAAGAATAGAAGTTCTCAATGACAATTGTACAAATTCTTTCAATTATCTTTTGGCATGGAAAAGAGCAGTGTCCTATATCCAACAATAAAAATATTTTAATAAAGTACCATTCGAGGTTAAGAACAAGAATATTCAGGACTTGCTGAAGTGGCCAAATAAATATCAGCTTTAAGTGCCACTTCCCGCCTATGAGGCTACAAAAATATTGAAATATACAGCCAATGCATTGTTCTAAGCCACAGTTAGCTCAAGAAGTAACACTGAAGCCAACAGTTATGGAAATGGAACACAAAACAACCCATTGACAATGCGTAGTTCAAGCGCCTTTATCAAGGTCTTACACTTCTGATTTTGGCAAACACTTTAGTGAAGGATGAAATGCAGAGAAAGCACCTATTGTATTTGCATCAAAGCACCACAAACAAGAACCATTTTACAAGCATGTTTACCACTCTTTTAGGGCAAATGTTAGAACAGGTAAGGCAGATTAGCAGACAAAATCAAGCAGGTATCTTCTAAAACCGGCTTATGTTTGAAGGGGTTAGATTTGTAAAATGGTAAAATCCCTACCAACACATAAAACAGGGTGTTCACAAATCATGCAAAAGCTAACTGATGCAAGATATCTTCAAGTGGATGCCATACCCAATTACAAAGAAAAAGGGACATTCATACTCTATTGAGTTACATTTCATAGATGGCATGGTAATATATTGAAAAGAAGAGTTGTAATGCAAGGCCTATGACTTCCCCCAAATTAGAGTAAAAAATTATTGTCTTACACTATATGATTGAGAAAGGGGGATTACCTTTGACAGACCAGTCAAGCCATCTTTTACTTTGGGAATAATTAGAATATGTGTGGGAGCTTGAGGAGCTATGTCCCTAAAGGCTAACACCTGGAAAAGCAAATAGAAGAAAACACAAACAAATTATAAAACCAGAAATAATGGATCAACTAACATATGCAACCATCTATATTAACTGGAAACTATAGTATACTCAAAACCATATTCAAAATGAAAATATAGAAGCAAAACTAGTAATTCATCTACACAGATAATCAGAACAATGCATCTATTATATGATTCAAGAAAACAACACTAGTTGTTCAATCCAACCTGAAAATACTTTTTGCAAAAAATTGGATATTCTATTAAAAAACTTGAACAAAATACAATTCATGTAGTTGTTCGCACCAACAACTAAAAGCAAAACCAAACCACCTTAGTTCACTTCTAAACAAGAATTGAGCAAAAGCATCCAAATTTTGTAATCAAGGTTCTGTCTTTAGCTACCCTACTAGACTACTCACTAAATCCACCCAAACCTTAATCAGTACAAACCATTACAAATAGAAATTTCACCATGTCCCAACAGATAAAAAGGAATAGCAGTACCGTATCATCCTCATAAACCACATTTGCTGGAATCTCTTTCTTGATGATTTTGTCAAAGCTGCAAGTAATGCATTTAGAAAATATATAAAAATTGATGGAAAACTGCTTTTACAAAATCTTAAAGGACAATTCAATTCTAGTAACACCTAAATTACTAAAACAATCAATGAATATGTTTGGATATAAGAAAAAGGGAAAGGGTTCCGATATCATGAATCAAACTGGCATTCTTTTTCTAATTTCTAAGAAAAGTTGTTTCCGTTCTTTTCCATTTTCCGTCGAGTCAAACGGAGCGCATGTGTTTCATCTGTGTGCGTTTCAGAAATAGCATCGAAAGAAAAGGCAGAAATTTGAGAATCGGAGAGAAGAAACATACATGGTCGGAGCATCGGAGGGGGCAGCCGCGAGAGCGGCTTCTTTCTCAGAAGCCATGGCGGAAGATGAAGAATCCGGAGACAAATGGGATCGCAGCACGGTGAGTCTGCTGCTAACTGGACTTTTTATATTTTCCCTATTACTCATTCGAAGCCCTAACGCTAATCAAATTCTTTTATCTAAAATGTGCACTTACATTTTGTACGTGTACGGGATTATATTATACTGATTATTAAATAAATATTTTTAAAATTAAATTTTTTTATTTAATACTTTTTATATTTTGATTTGATCTACTGTAACTTATAAAATAAAGTTGCATTCTTTTTATTTTTTCTTTTACTTTATCTTTTTTTTCTTTTCTTTTTTACTTTATCTGCTTTTTGTAAAATAAGTATTTTGCAATTTTAAAAATAAAATATTAATTAATTATTAAATTAAAAGAGCCATGATATTGGAGAAAATTCCATCTAAAGATTAGTATTTTACAATATATGAACTCTCTTTTTATAATGTTATCTTTCTAGTCTATAAAAAATTGGGCATGAGCTGATTTTGCATCATTTCAATTCACATGTCTTCTTAATAAAGAAAAATGAAAATGTTACAAGTATAATATTATATAAAATTATAAATTATTATCATGACATAATATTAAATAAATAAATATACATGAGCTGATTTAGTTCTTAAAGATGATATTGCATCATTTCAATTCACATGTCTTCTTAATAAAGAAAAATGAAAATGTTATAAGTATAATAGTATATAAAATTATAAATTATTATCATGACATAAATATTAAACAAATAAATACATACAATATTATGAATGAATTTTAAATGAAAAAAATTAATTATATAACGATATATTATATTATAAGTTTATAATATTATATAGTATTATAATTATAGTATTTTCAATAAAAAAAATTCAAAATTATACCTTAAAGTAACATAATAGGAGATTTGAATTATATCTATTTAAAAGTTATTATTGGTACCTTAAATAATTAAGTTGTGTGATAAGGAATAGTCATTTTTTTCCCACAAACTCTCTCTATTTGTTTCAATGATTCAAATATAAGATTTCTAATTTAAAGATGAAACTCAATTGAGACCCTTCAAACTTATCCATTTAAAGTTTGAAAACATATTTTAAACACCTAGGTCTCAACATCCCCTCATTGTCTTTGTCCTTGTTTGAAGACAAAATAAATTAATAGACAATTTATTACCTAATTTAGTTTCTTAATTTCCAATAAATATAAGTAATAAATATAAAGAAAAATAAGAACATGTAATTCCAAAAACAAGCGAGCGTTAGACGTGAATATTAGAGCGTAGCTCGCAGGACCAACAAAGAGAATGCAAATGCAAGTAGATAATGGCGAACCCTAGCATGAATTCATACTCCAATGAGAACCCATTTCAAACTCAAACCTTGTCTTCATTCTGATCTTTTACCCATTTCTTGAAGAAGCCCTAAACCTTCCCTTTCTTGCTCTTAAGGCTTCTTTTGCTAACATGGGGTCTTCCTCAGATTGCAACCATCTTATCCTTCTCATGATTTCCTAAGAAGCCATGAGAAATGGAGCCAAGATGATGAACTTAAGGCTAATCTTGTTAGATCCAAAGCTGGGTTCCCTTCTTCTATTACCAAGGACAAGCATAGATGGTTGCTTAATCCTATAATGCTTGCATTTAACTCTGGTGTTAAAGGTTCATATCTGTCTCTATGCCTCTCATTTGTATGTTTAAAATTTGTGTGGCCAATTCTTCAGTGCCTCTATATCCTTCCTCTATGTATATGCTGTGATTTTATTCAAAATACATGCTTTTGGTTCTTATTATCTTCAAATACCTAAGGGTGGAATCTCCTTAACCATTATGATAATTTTTATATGCATTGGATTTTTGAAGGCAGTTGTAGTTATTAAAGGAATTGGGAATTAGAACCTTTAATCCTGAGGTTAATTGAGCTAGTTTAGTTGCTTTGGATTTGTGAAAGCAATAAGAGATCATACGTGCAAAAGCATGCTTGTTGGGGCTGAGATTTATTTAGATTGCCTTCAGATTATAAGCAATTAAATGTGTGAAGATCAGATCATGGTGTTTATTTAACTAGTTATATAATCATGTGTACTCTTGTACGTTGTAAGCAAAAAGTTGGCCCTTTTAATTTTGTTGGTTTGCACGGTCATAATGATTTGTGAGGCTTGATTTTTTGGGAAAGAATGGCTTGAATTGCCATTAGGCTTCATATGATTGAATGGTTTAGCCTTTGGGTACTAGAATTTACAATTGGTAGCCCCTGATATTGAAAGTTTAGGTTGTTTGCTGTGATGATGAGTTTGGAAGTTTGACTTCTAGAAATTGTTCCCATAAAAGTTAAAAAAAAAAATACATTTTCCTTCATAGTGTTCTATATCAATTATCAAATACTAGTCAAAGCATATCATGAAAGGAATTTATCTTTTTAAAATATAGCCTTTTCTCTTTTACTTGTGATTGTGCTCTCATCAAGTGGAGGTTGGAGCCTTCATTCTTCAATATTAAACCATAGGCAATATATGTTCCTTTTTCATTTTGCTTCTCTTGAAGAGGATTGCATTCTCCTACAGGTGGGGCTATGTCTTGCACATCAGTACATCTTGGTGAAATTTGACCAGGTGGTGTGAGAGGAAACCACAAACACTATACTTGTAATGAGACATTTGTCATTTGGGGAGCTAAAACAAAATTCAGGTTATGCTTCCTTCTCATTAATGTAAAGTTTTTCTCTTGAGAGATCTGGTTTGGGCTTCTCATTTGTCACTTCCACCTAGTGGATTGAAAAAAATCCATATGTTACTTCTTCATTTAATGGTAGATCAAACTACGCAATGCATGATTAACAAGAATGACGGTGCTATTTCCAAAACAAGATTTTCTTTTTCCTGTCAAATTTTCTTTCAAAATTTTCCTTTGGATTCAGAGATTGAAATAGTTTGGAGTACAACTATTGCCATCAGGTTAATTAATTTCCATTGTAAAAATTTGTTTAACGTTACTTGTGGGTAATGAAGGTAGAACTTTTGCTAATCAAAGCATTAAGAACCAGAGATATTCAACTTTTCATTGAGTCCCAATTACTTTTGCATTTCATGAAATTTATTTAACTTCGTGCATACATGCAGCAATGCATATGGTGAAGTTGGTTGCTTTTGCAATCGAATTCTGGTTCAGTTGTACGCTTCTAAAATATTCCATTATAAAGTAAAGACAAACTTCTTTCAAGATAAAAGGAAAGCAAAACTATAATATATGGATGTATAACTTGTGAATTTCTGTAGCTTTGATTTCTCTTGTGTAATACTCCATCTTTCGTCCTCCATTGACTTGATATGATGCAGTGGTATGGATGGAAATTGCAAAGGACATCTTATGCATTTATATACAATTCTAACTATATTGTGGTAATGTCAATTGTTGGTACACCAACCAGACACTGCTTATTTTGTTATGTAGTGAAGGAGGAAGATAGCTTAAGTGATTGAACAAAAAATAGCATAGATGCTAATTTAGGAATGAAAATGGCTTAAGTGGAGCTGAATTCCATATTTATGTTGACTAAATTGCAGTTGGAAAACCATCAAATAGTTGATAAAGGTTATGCTAAAGCAATAATTGATCAGGATGAGGTTGCTGTTACTGCTAATACTAGAGGAACAACACCTGTTCTAGTAAATATTGACCCCCTTCATAGTACATTCTTTATTGGATGCCAAGATATGACAATTAACTATAACAGTTCAAGTATTGATTTCAATGTCTAGAAAGATCTTTAGGTGTCACTTCTTGATCTATGCCTCAACCTACCTCTTACAACTTTGAATCAAAATCATGTTAACTATTCTATTATTGATTGTAATACTGGAGATTACAAGATTAGACATGCAATATATATGCAATCAAAATTTCTGATAGGCATTCAATTATCAGTATCTATTCATTCATTTATTATTTATAAGTATCTTTCTTGGTTTTTTGACAAGTACACAACATGAATTGTGTTGGTAGTGTAATGGAAGAAACTGATGGAATGGATCATTTTGATTATTTTCAATCTACCAATGTGATTTTCTAGACAATCTTGAAATTTGTTGTGTATAGTACTAATTGTTTGGACGTTAAATGACTTAGCTTCTAACGGCTTATCTTCTTTATCTTCATATTTGAACGATCCTTCGCGTGTGCTTGATATGAATGAAGTTCTTCATTATTTGATGATTAATTTAGTTACTTTAAAGTTTCACAACATTTTCTTGTTTGTTGGAACCTTAAATAACTTATCTTTAACATGTTAAGGTGAATGACCTTTCAGGAAAATCCCATCTATAAAATATGGAGACATGTGTGGGGATTTCTTGATTTGATCATACATATTACAAGGAGAGAGCTTCTCTTGTTGTCTGTTTGATTAAAAAAATTGGTTTTGTTTAATAGACACAACTGAAGCAGGTGTAACACAAAGGTTTCTTGAACAACCATGTGCACTTCTTATATATATATATATATATATATATTATGCACAGCTTTGTTGGAAGTCGAAGCCTACCATATTATGCATAAAAGAAAGCCTTTCTTGTCTTGTGCTAAAGAAAGGAGAACCAATTTTCCCATACTTGAAAGGCAAACTAAACTTGACAGGGCAATTGCTTGAACTATTTCTCAAATCTCCTTACCTATAAGAACAAAAGATCTGAAAGGCATAATGTCAGAATCTGAGTTTCGATTTTGAGGAAATGGAGAGGGTGGAGAAGGTAAGAAGAGACAGGTTGTTCTGGTGACCTACAATTACCCCAACACCAAGGACAAGCTGCACGGTTGCATCAATGACGTGCTGACTATTAAAGAAGTCTTGGTGAAAAGGTTTGGGCTTGATTATGCTCATATTGAGCTTCTGACTGATGCAGCAGGGTCCTCGATTATTCGTACTTGTGCCAACATCAATGGGACACTTAACTAGATAGTGGATAAAGCTAAAACAGAGGATGTCCCATTTTTCCACTATTGTGGCCATGGAACCAGGATTCCTTCTATGAAACTTGGTCATCCCTTTAGACAAGATGAAGTAATTGCGCCTTATGACTTCAATCTAATCACTAGTAAGTTCTAATTTTCTAATTTTGCATTGGTACATCTAGAATTAACTGCTTTCTTAATGCATTAGTTAGAATTCTTGAGAACTAACTCAACTAAGGTCTTATATGCAAATATTGACTAGAGACAACTGCTTAACCATCCACCTGAAGGCTCAAGCTTCATGATCCTTTTAGATTCGTGTCATAGTGAAGGTCCCATTGACAAGGAGAAGAACAAATTGCACCATCTTCTATCACAAAGAACCAAAAACCATTATCTTACAAGCCTAAAACCATTCCCTTCCAATCTGTACTACAACACTTGTCTTCACTCACGAGCATCAACACCTCAGATATTAGCACCCACCTGTTAAAATCCTTTGGTGCTTATGCCAACCTCAAATTTCATCTTCCCTAGGACAAATTGGATTCAAAGTCCTCCAAACTAGACGAAGGCATTTTGCTAAGCAGGTGCCAAGCAAATGAGACGTCTGCAAACGTGAGTGAGAATGAGAGTGAAGGCAGAGGTAAGGCATGCAAGGCGTCTAGCAATGCAGTGCAGATGGTGCTGAAGGAGAAACTCGGGTCCATTGAGCAACAAGGAAGTTGTGATAATGGCCAAGAAGGTTTTACAAGGACAATGGTTCAAGCAGCATCCTTGCTTGTACTACGATGATGAGAAGGTGATGCTACATTCTTGTGGTAGCCTGAATGCTAGCTTTTATCCCAAGTTTAATTGTTTTCCCTTTGGGATTCATTGATCCATGGTTCAATTTGCAAGTTCGTGTGTAGGAATAATAAGTGATTTTTTAAATATTTTACAATAGTTTAAGTGGCACAATTCAAACTACACAATTGTTTTTTTATTTATATATTATTTATAAAAAAAAAAAAAATTGTTTTCTATTTTAAACTACATTGGTATGTAAAATACTAACTATTAGATCAACATAGATTCCTAATTTTAAGGGCAGGGTAAGCCTTTTCAATTTGATAGTTGGTGTTTTGTAATTTGATATTGATCCAACTTAAGGGAAATAATGTTAATAGACTTGAAATAAAAAGAAAAGTGTGACGTCAGATAAGGTGGAAAGCATTAGATGGTTTGATATCGATATTGAATTTACCTTAAAATTCCTTTGATCTACTTTTATTATATCATAGCAAGAACTAGCAACCATTTACAAAATGAAAACACTAAAATAGATAAATTAAGACATCCAAGTAGCACTACTCCCTCTTTCACTCTCAGAAGAAACCACTTGCTTGAAACCACTTGCTTGAAACCACTTGCTTGAAACCTACTCTACTTGTGGCTTGACATTGAGTTTCTTCCCTGTTCCCTTAGTTGTGACCATGATTATGATTATGAATGTTGCGACGTAATCTGCACCAAAATCACTTCATAATGAATCAGTCGAATGTATTTTTTCGTAGTGACAAAAAGGGTATCTAGCTTAATGTCCTCAATATCTTTTTAACTCATTTCAATGGAGATTCTTAATGTTGCATCAATATTTAATTAGTATTCAACAAACAATAGACATATATTGATGAGAATTGAGAACCTAACTAGTTATGTTATTGCAGTTGGTGTGAAGAAATTGATTGAGATAATGGTAAGAAACTTAGGTTGAGGGTGATGGTTATGCAAGCAATGTGGGCATGAAAGATATCATTTCTTGGGTGGCTTTAAGACTCAAATAGGGCAAAAATAGGCTGGATTTTGCAAGGTGAAACTCCATTGCTTCATTTATAATTGATTTATGTGAATGTTTTACATTTAGAGGCTTAAATATTTTGTCAAAATACTTGAGACATGCATTTCTCAATTATGTGTTATAGGATCTATATGATTGAAAAATGTGTATAAGAGTTTTCAAAAGTTAAATTTTTGGAGCTAAGCTTATAAATGATCTTTAATAGTACTCAAATGATCAAAACTCACATTTCTCAAAGATGGTTGCAGAGTCTAGACTATTTAGATGATTATACCATGTAGGACTATAATTATGGTTGGAAATGGGTTAATTTCACTTTAAAGTTTCTTCCCTTTATTTAAAACTACCATAGGTTAAGCATTTTATATCTTAGCATGAAAATAGAAAGATATTTAGACAGGAAATCAGTCATTTCCCCCTACATATTTGATTAAATTGAAGGAATAAGGAAAAGGAGAGAAAATAATTAAAGGATATTTTTGTTATGGCCGAAAAGCGAAGGGATCGGACTTCTATTGTTGAGGGGCCAAAGTTGCCATAACAGTTGGGGCACCTAATCTTTTGGGCTTGAAATTTTGGCCCGTTTTCTGCTTGGTTTCATTTTTGGTTTATTATTATTATTATTATTATTATTATTATTATTTATAAGCAAGGTGTTCCTTGAATCCCAAGTGATTTTGATCCATCATTTCATTTTGCAAGTTTGTGTATTG